TACTGGCTATCCACATAAGATGACTGAACATAGACCCACATCTCTTACCTGTAGGGAACAGGGAAAGGGGACGTTACCAGAACCTCTGCAGTAAGTCCTAGTCTCCTTCGAGCCACGACAGACAGCACAAGGTGAATTACAGGAAAGGTAGACAAATGAGACTGAGAAGAAGCTGAGCTTTGGGTTGGATCAGTGCTGCTCTGGGCGGCAAAGACAAAAGCCCCCTAGCTTACAGCACTTTTTATTCAGTAAGTGGGGAAACAGAAGTAACAAGTGAAAATGCAGATTTCAGTACTTTACATTGGGATAAACAAGGTGGAAAAAGACTGGGGGGGGGCAGTGGAAATCTAAGGACAATGAGGAACTACACAGACGAAGATTGGGTTCCTCCCTGGCATCTCCCACAGGTGTGGCCTTATCCTGGAGCATTACAACATCCCCGGATCACTGAGGTCTCAATTGTGACCCGAGGCCAAAATGTAATTATGTCTGGAATGTGGTGGCTGGTCTGTAGGCAGGGGAACTAGGCCTACTTAAATGATTTTTCCCTAGAATTATGTAGCATTGCTCCTAACACTTACCATCTACTAAACTAAAATCAAAATAGGTCTGTTGTGCCCAGATTATGAAGTCTCAAAGACCACCAGGAGGCCGTTTCCGATGTAAGCACACGAGGGTCATTTATTCAAGCTTAAGCAGGGACTCTCAATTGTCACCGACACAGCGGATGAAGATTGAGAGCCCCGAGTTCCAAATTAGCAGGGTTTTTATTGAGATTACAGCAAGCTTCAGTCATTAGCAGCCATATGATTGGTTAACATTTAGCAAGTATGAAGTGTAGAATTTTGATTGGCTAGGCTCATTGGGGGTTGAAGGGGATTACGTATAGGTTTTTACAAGAAAAATGGGGACGAAGGTTAGTGGTCTACTGTCACGTACTGATGGTCAGCAGACATCCTGACTAATGGTCATGACCATCCTGTGTGGATAGTCGGCACGTTAACAGATTGTCCTATAGATAGTGGGCCCGGGACACTTGTTTCTAGGGCAAACAGATGGCTGAGTAATGAGTTTAGGAATCTTGAGTTACAGATCATGTCTTTTGTCCCAGATTAAGCACATTTAATTATTAATTTGAAAGAACACAGGAGACTGCTCCATTTTGGACAAAATGGAGTCATTCTGGTCTCACATTCACAAAATGGAGTCACTTTTGGTCTCACAGGTCAATGACACAAATGTCGCAAGAAGAACTGTTAATCTATTGAAATATAATATAGGTAAAACTCTTGACATATGCAGAAGAAAGGACTTTCTGAACAGACTCTAGTTGCACAAGAAATAGTATCAAGAATCAACAAATGGGATCATATCAAATTAAAAAGTTTCTATACAGCAAAGGAAATAACCAACAAAATAAAGAGACATCCTATACAAAATGAGAAAAGGACAAAAGACATCCCATACAAAATGAGAAAAAAAATCTAGTTATTCCTTGGACAGAGCATTAATATAGTATCTAGAATATATAAAAAACTAAAAAAAGTAGACCCTCCAAAAAAAAGAACTGAAATGAATAAACACTTCTCAGGAAAAGGAGTACAAACAGCCCATAAATAATGAGGAAATGTTCAGCATCTCTGGCTATTAGAGCATCTCTGGCCATGCAAAATTGAAATAACACTGAGATTCCATTTTACTCCAGAAAGAATGGCTATCATCAAGAAATCAAATAATAACAAAAGCCGTGAGGCTGTGGGGAAAAATTAATCCCTCTACATTGTTTGTGGGAACATAACCTAGAACAAGCATTATGGAAATTAGTATGGACTATCCCCTCAAGAAATTCCATTTGACCCAGCTATTCCCCTTCAATGTATCTTTCTGAAAGAGTTATTAAAGACATCATATTATAGTGATTCATGCACACCCATGTTTATAGCAATACAATTCATAATAGTTAAATCTTGGAAGCAGCCTATATATATCCATAAACAAATAAATGGATAAAGAAAATGTGGTATCTATACACAATAGAGTGGTACTATGCCATAAAGAAGGATAAACAAGTCATTGGTAGGAAAATGGATACACCCTTAAGACTATAATGTTAAGTGAAATATATCAGACACATAAGCTTAAATATGGCATGATTTCTCTTATATGAGAAACTCAAAAGATTAAAAAAAAATTAAAGAGCTAAATAAAAGGCAATGGGAAACTGGGAGATAGATCTTTTGTAAAGGGAATGGTGATGGTACCAGTGTTGGGAAACAACATCAACAAGACTTATAACATGCCATTCTTTAAATAAATACATTTCATGTAGTTTGACCAGGAGACAAGAATAGTGGCATGAACTGCTCAGATATGTGTGACAAAAAGGAAGAACATAAGTCTCTCTGAAATATTTCAAGTCTGCTAAATAGAAAATGGTATTGGCCTGGATGCAGCAGAATTCAGGCTATAAAATCTGAAATAGTGAAACAGTAGAATTTAGAAGCACAGACAGAGTAGTTACAAGAATTTCCAAAAATAAAGAATTTCTCAAGTGAACCATTAAATCTCATTAAAAGGAAGCAACAAAACAGGCATGGTGGCTCATGCCTATAATCTCAGAACTCTGGGAGGCTGAGGCTGAAAACTACAATTTTGAGCCTAGCCTGTGCAACTTAGTGATTTAGTGAGATCCTGTCTCAAAATAAAAATAAAAATAAAGTAAAATGGACCAGGGATCTGGGTATACAGCTCAGTGCTAAGGCCCTCAATTCAATCCTCAGTTACCCCCTGCTTCCCCCTCCAAAAAATAAAACCAGGCTACAGTTGACATTCAGAAGAAAATGAATCTACATAACCCTGAAAGAAAAGTATTTCACATTCTATTTTTGATGAACCAATTATTTCTATGGTTATAGGAACTTCTTGCATTCCCATATAAAACACCTTTTTGTGTTTAAGGACAAAAAAATGCCCCCAAACTGAACTAACACTCTCTTATATATTCAGTTTTAGTTAATGGTACCAATCATCCTCTTAATCAAATTGGAATTTCTTCTTTATAGAACTATGGACAAAACTTTCTCTGTAATTCTTTTCATGAAACAGTACCCTGAGATTCCCAGGTAATCTATTTTAAAACTGCTAATCTACTTGCAATCGCATATCTGTGTAAGTCAAAATTATCTTGCCATGGCACAATGACCATGTGGGACTGTATGATTCAAAATTCAATTACTCCCCTAGCCTCTGTTGTGTTTAAAATTTAATGGTTAAAATGTGCTTGTTAGTCTTGGGATAGTAGATAAAATCTGTAGCAAAACAAAGTTCCTAAGTAAATTATTCAACCCTTTGTTTGTCCAGAGAACAAATGTTCCCGGACCCACTGTCGGTAGAACAATCCATCAATATGTCTGCTGACCATCAGTATGTGACAGTCATGACCATATGGTCGTGACCATTACTGTGTGTGTCTGCTGACTAACCTTTGTTCCTTTTTTTTCTCGTACATCTACATGTTAAACTCCCCCTCAACCCCCTATAAAACAGCCTTGGACTCTGAGCCAGTTGCCTCTCTTAGCTACTTTGCTTTGGGAGTGCCATCTAGCCAGACTAATAAAGGTCTGTTTTATTTTCCAACTTGTCTGGTGTGTTCCTTCCCGGGTGTTCGTCGCTGCAGTCAGCTCCTCAGAGCATTTGGTAAGGCCCTTGGTCTTACAACCAAACCTCACATATAAAAGAATTGCAATGCTGAGGCTAATATAAAACACAACTGTGTTTCATAATTCTATATCAACTTTGTATTCAAGCAAAGATTATGATTTCATTTTTATAACTTAAAAATAAGTATATGCATATTAAATTTCCTCTTAACGTAATTTTTATGTTGGTGTGCCATTTTTTGTTCTGTTTTGTGGTACAGAAAATTGAACTCAAGACCTTCATGCTAGCTACCTTCCCCAGTCCTTTTTTATTTTTTATTGTGACATCCCATACACCTTTCATATATCCCTTATGCTAACTTATGTTTTCAATTTTTATATTTATCTACATTGCTCAATAAAATGAGTTCTGCAGGAGGGGTTATGCTAGAGAAATTCCACTACATTGTAGAGATTCAGAAATATTTAATGAAGAAGGAAGAGAATAGAAGGAAGGAAGGAAGAGAAAAGAAAGAGCACATTAAAGGACATAAATGAAGTAAGTGTTGTTGTTATGATATAATTAAAGAAATAGTTGCTATTTCTCAAAATCATCTTTGTGGGTTTTGTTTTGTTTCATTTTGTTTTTGTGGTGTTGGGGATCAAACCCAGAGCCTCCCTCATGCTAGGCAAGCACTCCACCACTGAGCCACATTCCAGACTCAAAATTATCTTTAATATCCAGGTCTCAAGCTAACTGAAATTCTCACACTAAGAGGTTCATTGGGCCCATAAGAATTAGGAGTCTGAAAGCAACCATTTAAGCTGGAAATACTCCTCTGTAAGCATTGCAAAATATAACAGGAAGTGCCCAAGTCATTAGACCAGGTTAACCAGAGGAGACTGGGAAAAAGAATAGGGAAAAACCCTAGGAAAAAAGAATGAAAAGACAGAGAATGAGATCCACTCTAGACCAGTGTCTCAGAGTGGGTGAGAGAGAAAGGACAGATCAGTACAAGCAACAATTCAGGGCCCAGTTATGACATGCTTAAACACTGCCTTTTTGTGTTTTTTCAGCAACCTGCAATAAGGGAGAGTGGCATACATTTCTTCATTTGGAGAAACTGAGCTCCTCAAAGATTAGATAAAGGAAAAACTGGCAACAACAACCAGACTTCTCAATAGCTTCTCTCTCTCAGACAAATGCCCTGTGGAAGGGAGAGAAACTGTGTTGCCTCCCTAATGATAATGTGCTGATTCTGTTTGTTTAACTAAAGCTACACCAGATTAGTAGACCATAATTACAGCTAAAATCCTTGTCTCTGATATAGTTGACAGAATGTCTGTTCCACAGAGCTGAATTTGGAGGAAAGGTTTTGCTCAAGGTTAAGCCAGGCTGTCTGAGAGCAATAGTGCCGTTGCAGTGTCCACTGGCAACATTATCTGAGCAGTGGGATTTCCTACAGCTTAGGTTTCAAATGGTTTACTTTGATTTCTTAAAGCTATAAATAAGTTTGCTCATCTTTAAATGGCAATGTTAGTGGCTACACCATAGAAAACCGTAAGTACTTTCCTTTGTGTCTAGGTGGAAGACATCTGCCTTTTTATTGTTATACAACTTTACTAGGACTTCTTTTAAGAAACATACACACACACACACACACCTCTACTTGCTTTTAAGCTATGCATAAAATAATGAAGTCTGCTGCTAATAGTCCTTTCATTTAGTCAACTTTGAATTTCATTCTTAATTCCTTGAGATTCAGAAATGATAATCAGTTTTTTCAGTCAGTGATGGTTATCTGTCATGGATCAGGGAATGTTCTCTCACATTTTGCCAAAATCTTTTATGAAATTCCTGCTCTCTGTCTCATCCATTTTCTATTTGCTCTGGTCTGCTTTGGAAATCATAAAGCAAATTACAAACCTAATTTGACTTACATTGCAAGGGAGAAATCCAGGCAAGAAAAGTAAGCTGGGATCAGGGTTGGGTGTATGAGAAGAAACATTCAGACAGTTCTGTCTTTATGCCCCCACATCCCAGACTTTCCTTAAATAAAACCCACACTTTGCGGGCTTTCTAATGAATAGTGGCCAAGTAGCAGCCTGACATCTGAGGCATGCCATTACCTTTTTTTTTTCTTTCATTCCCTCTCCTTAATTAGGGGATTTAAAGGGAGGTTGCTCACATTTTCTGAGAAACAACATTAACCTCCTGAGAATGCAATGCTTGATGCTTGATGCTAGAACTCCTTCCTGGGGGAGGAAGGGTCATCCTTTTGTTGAGGGTCACCCCTCAGCCTGTGATGTTCTGTACATCTGTAGGATACAAAAGGGCTGCCTTGACCAAGAATGAGCTGAAGTGGTTATGAAATCCCTGTTCTGGAAGGCTTGATCTTCTAGGGCTGATTTTACTATAGTTCCATAATAAGGCAGGGAGATAGATCACTTTTCACTGCGTTTTATGGTTTAAATGAAACCCACAATAAAAATTTTACCTGTAACAAGCACATACACACCCCAACACAAAAAGACAAAACAATTCATAAACAATATTTATGCCTAGTAGGCAATGCCCTCTACTTTGAATTCCATTTTACATCATTTTTCAAATGCACATCTCCACCCACCAAATTGATTCCCTCCCACTAAGGAGTGGCAGTCTATGATTTCAAAAATGCTCAACTGATGTCCTTTCACTTTTCTATTTCTGTAATTCAATATAGAGTGATTTGGAATTGAGGACAAGCCTGATGAGTTTGATGTATGGAATAAGGAATCTGATCAGCTCTGGGTTTATTGTGTTTTTAAGCCTTTCTCTGTGTGTTCTTTTTCTTCACTGCAGAGAGGATTCTATTATCTTTGCTCAAAGAGCAGACAGTACTCCGGCTGCTTCCCCCTGTTTCTCTTTGATCCCTGCAGCCCAGCTCAGCCCTTCCCCCAAGCCCTCTCATCCACACCAGTTCTGGCCCTGGGACTTGAGGGATTGCAGGGCCTGGAGCCTGTTGTGTGCTCTGTTCTCACCTCCAACCTGCTCCACCCCCACCCCCGCTGATCTTCCTGCCCAATCTGCCAGGTGAATGGCATTTTTCTGTTTCTCTGGTTGTTATTCTCCTATTTCATACAAGATTTAACAGTTTGCTCCTAGGAGAATTTTTAATTTGTTGCAGAGATGACAAAAGTGCATGGTGATTTTATTTTAGGCATAAGTGATTTTTGTCAACTGGGATTTAATCTGTGAATAATTTACTTGCTAAAATTAATTATTTTTAGAGATGAGTTAAAAAATGAGAATTTTTCATCAGGTTCAGGACAACATGACGTATCCATTGTTGCTATTGTTTTGGTGTCAGAGATGGAACTCAGGGCCTCATCCATGCTAAGCATGCTCTGTACCTCTGAGCTATGCACCCCCCCACCCCCCACCCCCAATGCAGTATGTCTTAAAACACACGGCACAGCCACATTTTAAGTGCACATATCACCACCAAATCAATATATTCAAGATAAGAAGAGAGGGGAAGGAGTAATGGAGGGGTTGGAAATGTTCAAAGCATGTTAAATGCATATACAAATATGTCAAAATGAAACCTATAATTCTATATAACTAACGCTCATTAAAAGAATTTTGTTAAAATGATTAAAAAATATCTGAAACACAGGTTGGGAAATGTTAAACAATCAATATATACAGCACTTTAATTTCAAATTTAATTTCTTTAGAAAGATAAAATGATAGGCTGCTTTACCATTTATTTTACCCATTACATTTGACAACATTTAATGAACACCTGTTACCTATAAAACATGTTTCTTGACCTCAAGGCATCCAGACCTTCAAAGGGAGATAGAAATACATGTAAAGAGCCACCATATAAAATAAGATGGGAGATAAAAATACTGTACATGGAAAAGATTATCATATAAAATTTTAATAAGTGAATAAGCAGAGTATAAAATCTAACCATACTGTATCTCCCTTTTCAGAACTCTTTTGTTTTGTTTTGTTTTTTTGCTACCAGGGATAGAACTCTGGTCCTTACACTAGTGAGGCAAGCAGCAGAACCACTGAGCTAAATCCCCAGCCCCCTTTCAGAACTCTTAGGAGTGAAAAGAGAAATCACTCATTCTTAGTATATCTGTCTTATCAATATAACTGATTGCCAAACCCATATACTCTCCTTTTGAACTGAAGGTATGATTCACTGATGGACTCAATGATTCTTTGTGATTCAAATGGAATCAGTGAATGAAGATAAATACTTGTGCCACATGCCCTGAAGAAATAACCTTCCTATGGGTTTTTCTGTGGCTTCTTTATATTCTTTATATTCTTCTCTTATACTTGTTCCTTAATACTAGCCTGCATCAAAAGCAAGAGACACGAATGGAAGGAAAGACACAGGGAAATAAAGCCAAGAGGACTCAGGTATTTCTTTGCTCTCTGGTTGTCTAGATGCCCTTTTATCATAGAAATACAAAATACAAAGTGTAGATTTTATAGTAGACATATTTGAAAAAGTCAAAAGATAGATAAAATGTATTTTAACAATGTATCTTATATAACTCAACTTATCCAAGATATTATCATTACTACATGTAATCAATGTAAGAAACTTTAAGGAGATACTGTATTTGAATGTGTATATGAATGTATTTTACATTCTTTGGGGGAGGAATTCATTTTCAAAATCTGGGATGTATTTCCCACCTACAGCACATCCCAGTTTTGACTCGCTCTATTTTTAGGGTTCAGTAACCATAGTGTGGGGGGGCCTTGCCCCCCCTCTGCTAGAACTCTTGAGTGCCTTTTACAGGCATGTCTGGGCCTGCTGCAAGTCTACCCGGCAACAAGGAAGTAGCCCCAGTACCCTCCCCTTGCTCCTCCCCTCTAGCCCTACGGTATATATGCTGTAGCAGCTTCCGCAATAAATGAGACTTGATCAGAAACCTGTCTTGTCTCCATCTCTCGTGTCTCTTGTCCCTTGTCATTCTCGCTCCCCCTCTAGGGTCTCCGTTGACTTACCCGCGGGCCGGGACAAGTGGCGCCCAACGTGGGGCCTGAGAATGGGGGATCCAGTGAAGAATGCTGCTCGGGAGCCCAATAAAATAGAAGAGACAAATAAAATAGAAAAAAGAGGATTGCGTTTGACATGAACCTGCCGTCTTTCCTGCACCTCGGTGAGTTGAGCAGCGATTATGGGACAGGAGATTACCCAACATGAGTTGTTTGTAGAAGGTCTTAAAAAAACTTTACAGGCACGAGGGGTAAAGGTTACAGTCAAACAGTTGTTAAAATATTTTGATTATATTAGAGATCTCTGCCCTTGGTTTCCCCCCGAGGGTACCATCGACGAGAGGAGATGGAAAAAGTAGGGGAGGCCCTTAAAGATTATTATGCTACTTGTGGACCAGAAAAGGTCCCGATTACTGCATTTTCTTATTGGAATCTTATTGATGAAATTATCTCCCAAAAAACCAAAGATCCGGTGGTGGCTCAAGCCATCCAGGTCGGGG